AATTTAGTTACCATTTGTACGCTGATGAGTCTCAGCAACTGACCCAAATTCTCTGCTGGCTTCCAGTCTCACATCTCCAAATGCTTCTCAGACTTCTCGAACTGGACGTCCAGTAGACACATTAAACTCAATATATCCAAAAGAGAACTTATTATTTCCCCCCTTAAACCCTCCACCCTACTTGCTTCCCTTTTACTATACAGTAACAACATCCTCCTAGTGCCTCAAGCTCATGGCTTAGGCGTCATCCTCAACTCCAGTGCCTGCCAATTCCATTTTTGCGGCGTGTCCCCAATAAGCCCCTTTCTCTCCTTTGATGCTGCCACCGCTCTGGTGCGGGCTGTCATCACCTCACCCTTGAACTATTGGAGTAGTCTGCTGGTGGGTCTGCCTGTCTCAAGTCTCTCCCCACTGCAAGCTGTTCTCTATTTAACCACAAAGTGATTTTCCTAAAGCACAAGTCTGATCATGTCACCTCTCCCGCCTCCCGCCATATGCACTCATTAAATTCCAGTGTCACCTTTAGGATCAAATACAAAATCCTCTGGTTTTCAAAGACTTTCAAAGACCTTCATGACCTAGCTCCCTCCTATCTTTCCAGCCCCCATATCTTACTTTCCACCAAGTATTCTTTGATCCAGTGATATTGGACTTCTTGCTGTTCCATGAACAAGGCAATCCATCTCTTATATCCAGGCATTTTCTCTAGCTGTCCCGCATGACTGGAACATTCTCTTTCCTTATTTCTGCTTACTGTATTCCCTGGCTTCCTTTATTTTTATTTTTTTAATTTTTTTTTTTTAGGCAATTGGGGTTAAGTGACTTGCCCAGGGTCACACAAGTTTAAGTGTCAAGTGTTTGGTCTGAGGCCGGATTTGAACTCAGATCCTCCTGACTTCAGGGCCGGTGCTCTATTCGCTGTGCCACATAGCTGTCCCACTGGCTTCCTGTAAGTCTCAAATAAAATCCCATCTTCTTTTAATTCTAGTGTTTTCCCTCTCTTAGTTATTTCCTATTTATCATGTATATAGCTCGTTTGTACACATTTGTTTACTTATTGTCCCCCTCCTTAGGTTGTGAACTCCTTGAGGGTAGGGATTCTCTTTATTTTTTGTACCCTTCAGCATTTAGCACCGTGCCTGGCATGTATTAGGCACTTAATATATGTTTACTGACTATTGTCCCCACTGTGTATTCTCTGCCACCCTACCACTATTTTTTAAGCTTCTTTTTGTGTGTTTTTCTCCATTAGACAGTAAGCTCCTTGAGGGCAGGGACTATTTCTTTTTGATATTTGTATCTCTGGTGCTTAATACAGTATCTGGCTCTTAGTAGGTGCTTAATAAATGCTTATTGACTGAATGACTGTCTCTAGACCCTGCTTTACATCCCATCCCACCGACACTATTATCAGCACGAACATCCTGACATCTGCCCTGCCCTGGCCTCTTTGCAATTTTAGCTCTTACTTTACATCTGGGAAGAATAATTAAACCAATACCATCCATTACCCTGAGTACTGGATAAGCTGTGACAATCTACTTACCCTGGGAAGCCCAATGGCTATTTGGACCAAAACTCTCTTCCTAGTCCTTCACTCTGCTATATATATGTTGTGTTTGCCTATAAGAATAGAAGCTTCTAGCAGGCAGGGAAATTGTATCTCTAGTGCCTGGCATATAGTGCAGGCTCAATGAATTTTTGTTGATTGATAGCTTTCTTCTTTTTACCTTATCTAATGCCATCTAAGAAGTTTTTCAGACACTCGTGAATGATGTTGTCTTATGTATATGGTGATCTGAAATTTTAGGTCAGAGAAAAAGGAACAAACCCCCAAAATGTTAATATAATGTAATAAAAAATGTAATAGTGTAGTAAGTTGGTGGGGAAGTTCTAAAGTTTATATAGTCTTCTTTCTGAAAAGAGCCCAGTGTGAAATGTTAACTGCGTGAAAGCGGGGGGGAAAGTTCTTATTGAAATGAGAAGGATTTTAAAGGGTGGGGAAAGATAGAGAATAGGGAGAGGATATGCTTTTCTCCTTTCTTGTTTTCCTGACCCTTTTTGAGCAAGGTCTGTCAGCACCAATCCCCGGATTTGAAGCCCTGTCAGATATACATGCAAGCTCTAGGAAGACTTGGACTGGCCATGGGGCAGGCAGACTTGGAGCTCTTAGCTTAGTCTCCCTCTTTAAGAGTTTAACTAAACTCCTTCCTTTTACCTCAGTCATAGCCTGAACCTAGCGCTCTGCCCTTCGTATATAAACCTTTTTTTGCCCCCTCTCTTAAGACTGTGAGGATAGCGTAGATGGGAGGGAACTCATGATTCTTTCTCTTGTGTTGTGCTAGTTATATTCCTAACCACTGATAGAGTTTGTGCTTTCTTACCTAATGGCCTCATGACTATTTTTTTAACTTCAAACTACAGATATAGTCATCTAAATTTTAAAAAAATTGATGTAATGTAGACCTTTGTTTTTTGTAACAGAGGACTCTAAAGAGTAGACTTACTCGCCTCAAATTTGGACTTAGAGCATTTCATGGAATCTCTTCTTGGCTCCCATCACTTACTACCTTATGTTGACTTATTTTTGTGCCTGTTATATGCCTCAATTAACTTGTAAGCTTCTTGAAGGCAGGAACTGTGTTGCTTTTCATTGCTGGATCCCCAGGACTTAGTGTAGTGCCTCCCATATAATTGGAACTTTTAAAAAGAAGTTTGTTGAATTGAGTTGAGCAATATCAGAGATAGAAGTTTCCTGTGGCAGGGAGGTTGTGGGGGGGGAGAGGGGGAAGAGGAGGGGAGGAGAGAGGACAGTAAAGGATAAGTGGGTGGGAGAATTAATTGCAGCAGGAAGCACGTGTTAGAGGTAGGGGTAGAGTGGAACATCACAAAGCATGTAGATGGTACTGCAAAAAAACTAGGTTGCTATGTACAGTAGGCCTACAACTATACCTTTTGTCTGGTACATAGCAGGCAAATTTCACTATTAAAAAGTATTAAGAATCCTCCCAACCAGTGCCCCAGGCAACTATATAAGACTACAAATGACAGAGGGAATTCTTGGGGAGTTCCCTATGCTAATGAGATCACAGGTCCAAACAAAATATGGACAAAATATGTGTAATGGGTGTAACTAGGGGAAGTCCCTCTCTAGCTTTTCTGGCTAGCTAGAGTGTATTCCATGAAGCATGTGCTTGAGCTCCTCTAGCAGCTTCTTGGGACATAAGCATCTCAATGCCAAAAGACTCGACACTTTGGGATGACGCAGACATTGACTTCTGTCGTGGCAGCAGGGTAGGGAATGGCATCAGTAAGTATAGGACTGAGTACTGAGCTAGGAAGAGCTACTTGTTCAGTAGACTTTAAAAAGAGTGACTCTGTCCTCTGACTGTTCTTTCTCTTTCTTTCCAGAGCACCTAGCAAATGACTTTCTCTGTTATCTCTTGTTGGGTGGAGAAGGAAGGGTTAGGCATTGCTTTTATCTGTCAGCTGGAGCAGGGGCTCTGCTAGATGAGTATGGGCTTGGGGCTCTGGTTGCCTCTTTTCCTATGTGTTTCTTTCTCTGAGTATAACATTGATCCTGAAAGATGGACTTTTCAAGAATCCATCTTGAATCTGGTTGTTCCTAGGTTCCCTGGGTATGTTTGGTTATACTTTGGGAGGATCTCCTGTGGTTCCTGGAGAAGATGACTACTGACAGGAGGAGCCCAGACACCGCCCTGGTTTGCCAAAAGACGTGGACCTGGAAGGAATTGTTTGGACAATGAAGAGCCAAGGAGATAGTGAAACACTAATTGAGTAGTCTCATAAACTAGCTCATGTTTTGATGTTTTAAGTACCAACTTCTAAGTTCCTTCTTAATTATTTAAATTTTTTGCCAATTTTTTGTCGATGTGCTTTTGTGAGTCTTGTGAACTTGGCATTTCTTTTGTGTGAAGGAAATAAATAGTTGTCCTGTGTGTGATTTACGTTGCATGTTGAATATTTTTCCATTCCTTCTGTTTAGTTACCTTTTACATGTCTAAACCTAAGTTTTAAGTGATTTTCCTTTGAGTTTTGAGGAGAGGTATAAAGGGACAAAGAATTGGAAGAAAAGAACCTGGCTCTTAAGAAAAGGGACCCCTAAATTCACCAGTCTGTGTGAATAGATCCAGAGCTTGAGGGTCCTTGAGAGGGAGAGGGGGGAAGTTCCTAGTGTCCTTGGAGCCATTAGCAGTTTTGACTGGTTACATTAAAAATATGGAGAAACTTAGCGTTTTTGTTGTTGCTGAAATTCACATTGCTCTTTACTATGCATTATCTCATTTGACACTTTCAGTGACCTTGTAAGGCAGTATAACTTACTGAATAAGGACCTCGATCTGGAGTAAAGACCTGGGTTCAATTCCTGCCTCAAATACTTAGTAGCTCTGTGACCCTGGACAAGTCATAATTTTTCTGTGCCTCAATTCCCTTATCTATAAAATAAGCGATGGCGATGGTGGTTTCCTCTGAGGTCCCTTCTGGCTCCAAATTTATAATCCTGCAAGCATGTAGGTATTACTAATTTTATTATCTTCACTTCACAGATGAAGGAATTTTAGCTCAGGGGTACACTTTGTCTCCTCAACTTTAAAGTAATTCCATTTAATTCAGTTAGCTTTTTAGATTACCTACCATGTACTAGACACTAGGGTAGATTCTAGTGGTACAAAGACAAAAAAAATCCTTGTCCTCAAGGAACTTATAGTCTACTGGGGGAGGGAAGAACACAACCTGTAAACAAATATAGAATATATGTGTGTGTGTGTGTGTGTGTGTGTGTGTGTATGTGTGTGTGTGTGTGTGTGTATGTATTTTGGAGAGGCACTAAAGATTAGGAAAATCAGTTGTACCATGGATGAGTTTTTTTTTCTTTGACATATATACTAACCCTACATAACAATGATTTTGTATCACATTTTGGAATTTTTAATTTTTTTCTAGGGCCTTACAAAATTTATGAAGTGAGAAGCAACGGATTTCACAAAGAAAAAAATATTTACTCTTGTAGCTTTATTAGTATTACATAAGTAGAATATAATTAGTTTTCAAACAGTAATCCTGAGAACAGAACCAAAGAAAAAAAGGCCAGAGCTTTTTTTTTTTAATTCAGAAAAGGAAAATTGATTCTGTCCAAAGTGTTAAAATATCATTAGTTCTCTCTTAATCTGTCTATAACGTTGCTGACGGCTACATCCTAACACACATAGTAAAGGGGTAATCTTATTGATTTGAAAAGAAAGCTGACATGTTTAAAGCTAAGAAATCCACATAATCCAGCTTACTTACTTATTGTGTTAGGTTTTTACATGTTAGAGTAGCAATTACCATGTACACATTTTCCTAAAAAAAAAGAAAAAAGAAAGAAAAAGATCTTTTTGTAATACAAAAAGGAGAAATTTGAGATATTGAAATATCATACCTCAAATTACTCAATATCTTCATCTTCCATGCTGGCCTGCTCTAGTGCATGGATCTCCCTTTCGGGAAGTAACCCATACTCATTAAGAAAACACTCAACATCCACAGCAAAAAAATCTTCAGCAAAGTGCTCAGTGACACTAATGAAATTGCTGATAAGCTCCCCACCTTTGTAGACCAGCAATGTTGGAAGCACATCTGAGGAGAAGCGATCCCCAGCACCTGTGTTAGAAGCTTTGATTTTACAAAATTTTACCATGGAGTATTCTACAGCAAGGCACTTTAAGCTATTGTTCAAGGCCTCACAGCCCTTGATATCATCTTCATAGATGTGAACGATGACCGTGGTGATCTTCTGTTCCTTTTTAATGGCTTCCAAGAACTGCTCTCCACTCTCCAGCTCAATTACAACCCCATACCGGGGCCCAAAGCTCAGCTTCTGGTGCATGTCTTGCATGCATTGCTTACGATATTTACGGAGACAGTCTTCATCCTCTTTGTCCTGGTGGATGAGTTCATACTCTTGCACACTCATCTGTGACAACAAACAAACAAACAAACCCACATCTGACCATGTCACTCCCCTACTCAGTCAATATCAATGACTATCTATTGCCTTTGGGATAAAATATAAATTCCTCTGTTTAGCTTTTAAAGACCTTCACAACCTGGCCCCAACCTAAATTTCCAGTCTCATCCCCCAAAATGCAATCCAGCCAACCTGTCCTTCTCTCTTTTCCTCATATTTAATACTCTACCCATCATTTCTGTGTCTTTGCTCTGGCCAACCCCCATAAGTAGAATACGAAACCTATTCATCCTTACCTCAACAAAGGATTCCCTTCCTCTTAGACTTAGCTAAGTACCACATTGTACATTAAGCCTTTTCTGAGTCCTCTAATTGCTAGTGCCTTCTCTTCCTAACCACCTGCTATTTAACCTTATTGTATTTAATCTCATTACATATGTATATATGTGTATACACACATATATGTTCCTCATATGTAGGGATTGTTTCATTTTTTTGTGTATTTGTATCCCTAGTATCTATCATAGTACCTGACAAATAGTAGCCACTTAATAAATCTTATTGATTGATTGATTAAAGGATGAGATGCTAGTGGCAAGAGCAATAGATTTTGGGTTTATTTTGTTGTTTCTGTTTTCCCATCTATGCAATGGCGAAGATGCAACAAGATATTTATGATAGGGATTTTGAAAAGCACAAGTACAGTAGATTGGATCCATTAAAATGGGAGCTTTGGGGAAGGAAAGAAGGAAGGAAGAAAGGAAAGGAAAGGAAAGGAAGGAAGACAGAAAACAAGCATTTATTAAGCACTAACTATGTGCTGGGCTCTATGGTGAGCACTTTATAAATATCTCATTTGATCCTCACAACAACGCTGGGGAGGGATGATATTATTATCCCCATTTTACAGTTGAAGAAACTGAAGAGGGCAGCTAGGTGGCACAGTGGACAGAGCACTGGCCCTGAATTCAGAAGGACCTGAGTTCAAATCCAGCCTCGGACACATGACACTTACTAGCTGTGTGACCCTGGTCAGGTCACTTAACCCCATTGCCTAGCCAAAAAACCAAAAAAAAGAAAAAGAAAGAAAGAAACTGAAGTAGAGAAATGTTAAATGGGTTACCTGGGGTCACACAGCTAGTCTGTGTCTGTCTAAGGCCAAATTTGAACTCAGATTTTCCTGATTCCAGACCTAGCACTCTGATTCACTTGAACTACCTCAGCTGCTTCTGAAGGAAAGGACTATTTTTTTGTTTGTTTGTTTTCATTCATCTTTCTCTAGTGCTTAGCACTAAGTAAAGTATTTAAGAATCATGGTTGTTTAGAATTTGAAGAGACCTTAGTGGTTATTTTATCTAAGCCTCACATTTTACAGATGCGAAAACTGAGGCCACAGAAAGATAAGTGACTTTCCTTAAAGTTACCCAGTGGCAGAGTCCAGATTCAAACTCAGGTCCTTGGACTCCAAATCCCAAGCTCCTTCCCTCTCGTCCTATATTATAATAAATGTAGACTCAAAATCCTGGCTTGTGTTACTTGCTAGCTGTGTGAACTTAAATCACATAACCTCTCTGTGCCTCAGTTTCTTTTTCTATAAAATAAAGGTTTTAAATGAAATGATGGCCTTCCAGATTTAAGTTGAGGGCTGACAACTGACATGTTCCTCCATTTCCCATAGCTACATTCTCCTGTTGGAGCAATTTCCCGAAGTTTCATGTATTAATCTTAAAAAATCCAATCCAATCTAATCCATTTCAACAAACATTTATGGATCCCCTACTTCATGTGAGGCACAGGACTAGTGCTTGTGAATACAAGTACAAAACCAAAACAGTCCTTGCCCACAAGGGGTTTCAATTCTGTTGACCCCAAACCTTTACATACCACTTTTTACTTTTCAAAACTCTTTCATTAATATCTTTTCAAATCCTCACAACTTTGTTATATAGACAGAGAAGGTTATTTTTATCCATTATTATTATTATCTATTACTTATTAATATCCTTTTATAGGCAGGAAAAAGGAAGCAGAAAAAGTTACTTGTTCAAGGTCATAGTAAGTCATGAACGGGAAATGAAGTTTTTTCAACCCCTAATCATATCCTCTCTTTGCTTTCCTCGGTTTTTCTGAGAAGGCCAAATGCATAGCTAAAGAGCACTGTGTTTTTGCTCAGGATAATATCTCTATGACGGCAAAACAAAAAACATTAACCTACTAAGCTGTGTTGGGAGTAGAAAATTCAGCTGAAATCATAATTGAGTGTCCTAAAGTTTTTAAAAACCTGGAGTCCATTCACTGGGGGGCTGAATTCAATCCGCCTCATTTGTATGATTTTTACTTACCTTTTCTTGCAAAAATAACATCATCTCTCCTTCTTACCTTTCTGCTGAGTCTTTCTTTTGTGTCTTTATCATCGCGACATTGAGGAGAAGACATTTGTCTGAGAATTTCCTTCTTGTTAGGTGGGATGGAATCATCATCTTCGCTTTCCAACTTAAACTTTCTCCAATCGTTGATAACTCCTTTGGGGCCTGGAATAAAGGAGATTTGTCATTTGCTCTTTAGACTATCAGGTGGGCAGGTTGTACTTCTGAAGTTTATTTATGTGTTGTCGTAGAAACAGACGTGTCTTCTCCTGCTGTTGAAACCAATGACTTGCTGGGGCTGCATGTCTCTGATTGTCTTGATAATAAAAAATGCCCTCCTGTTTTAAGCATATTAAATAGGTTTTGGCACAGAATCATCCAAAAGCCTCTGCATTATGAATATGTAAGTTATGTTCATTTTTAATATTGTCTCTTAACAAAAGAACACTTAAAAATCACTGTAATGTGATGGTCAGATTAAAATTATAGGATGAGGGGGAATTGCTAGTATTGTACTCTCTTTCCTTCTTTGTCTATTGGACCCCTAGTTAAACTTTAAAATTCAATACAAGTGTTATCTGCTTCAAGAAGTCTCTCATCTTCAAGTCAGGAATGACCTTCCCTCTCTGACCTCAAATAGCATTTTGTTTTGTCACTCTTTTATATTTTAATATTTCTGTGTTAACTTTCTGCATTTATCACTATAGCTATTTTGGCATCATCTCTCTGCTGTGCTCCTTGAGAGCAGAAGTCATATTTTGTCTAATTTTTTTTAATCACTCTCAGTGCCGGCTCACTGTTTTCCATACAGTAGGTGCTTAATAAATGTGTGCTGTACTATTATTGTAGAGGTAATATTTAGGTAGGTACCAAGGTATTTTATAAGACGACAGAGAACTAGAAAATGAAACAGTTCTAAGTTCTCTGAGTCTAGAAAAAAATAAGAAAATCCCAACTCTAGGAAGGCAACTTAATGTAGGCTTTAGATTTGTTTTCACTTAAATAAGGGAATGTTTTGCTTAGTGTGTTTTTTACCTGTGTGTGTGGCCTGTCCTTCAAAATCCTCTTCCAGACTGAGGCTTTTAGTTTCCTCCATTTTTGTGTCAGTGTTTGACATGATCTGTGTGGTCAACAAAGAAATCAATCGATGAGTGATAGATGGCTCTAGAATATATAGCTGAATCATATAATTTCCTACAGTTCCTAGGTTTGATGATAGACTAACGTTTGCAATAAGTGACAGGATGCTAACCATTTACACACACGTTTAAATAACAAGAGTTTTGACCACTACCCAGTCCAAAATAGTTTTCCTGTATTGGGACATATACTTTGTGAACAATGTTCATTACTTTGTAAAGTTATTGTGTAAGGCTGTTATCTTATCACTCTTCAAACTGTAGAAGTGAAAACATTGAAATACATGGGGAAGTTTTGCCTGGTTGATGGCCTGAGGCCAGCTTTTCTATCAAAACCAGAAAAAGATACCCTATCAGTGAACGCTTCCTAAAAAACACAAATAAGCTAATACCTTCCCTATCAAGATCTGAGCTTTCTAGAAATGTTGCTTGTCTAGAACATGACTGAGGATCAGGTAGGAACCAAAACGATGTTTGAGAAGTCAAAATAAAGATCCCAGAATTCTTGTACCAAAGAAAACAAGCACATATGCTTTATTGATAGGCAAGTATTCATATAGAGACTATTTACTTTTACTTTGCATATATTTTTAATGGGGTTGGTTATCTCATTTCTCAACCCAAAACAAATTGGAAACCAGAAATTACATTGAAGGAAGGGACTGGTATAAGCAAGTATGCTTTCTGTGGTACTCACTATAATAAGAAGTAAAATGTCAACTGAGCCTGGCAGCAGAGGAGAAGAAAGAACTCTTTTTAAAAAAAGTAAATACAAGAAGTAAGATATCGCAGCGTTTAACTGAGACATATAGACTTCAGTAGACTTAGAGGACATCATTGTGTAATACATAATTTTCATAATGATCCTGACATTAAGAAAAGCTTTAATTTTGTTCAGAATATTCTAAGAAAGAAGGGAAATGTGCCAGAGGTGGTGTTGTATACCTGTAATCTCTGCTACTAGGGGACACTGAGGCTGAAAGAGCATTGGAGTTTGGGAGTTCTGAGCTTCAGGAGGGCTAGAGTCAATCAGGTGTGTCCACACTAAGTCTAGCACCAATAGGGCAAGCCCTTGGGAGCAAGGGCCACCAGGCTGCACAAGGAGGGAGTAAAGTAGCTCAGGTTGGAAACTGAGTAGGTCAAAGCTTCCATGCCAATCAGCACTGGGATCCTAACCATGATTGGCCATCATACTTCCAGTCTGGATGAGATAAGGAGATGAGAAAATAAAATGATAAAATGTAAATAAAGCACTTTGCAAACTTTAAAGCATTATATAAATGTTGTTTATTAATTTATGAAAAGAAAAACAGAAACAAAGAGATAGTGTTCATGAATCATACAGCTAGAAATATGAGAAAGGAAGTGAGCTATAAATTAATTCAGGAATAATTAAAGGTGGAGCAGTAACTCAATTTTGCAGAATATAAACAACTCTTTAATAGCACTATGACTATTAACTATCTAAGAAAGCAAATAGGGGAAAACCTGCAGTCATAAAAAATAATTGTTGGGTAACTTAGTATATTAAAATAAAAGTTATAATTAAAAATTAAAAATGGCAGAACACCTAGTAACTTTTGTAGAACTCTTTTCTTTTGTAGTAACTGTTTGTAGAACTGCCCAGAATGCTTTAGCTTTGAGTTAGAGACTTTTTTTTCCTTTTGAATTTTGAGAGAGCAAGATGCTTACTTCAGGTACTTATTGTGTACAAGAAATATAGTGTTTAAACCACTCTGAAAACAATTTTGTTACCAATAACCAAGAAAGAGAAATAATACTTGGTGTCTTTGCTTCTGCTAAGATGAAAGCCCACAGTGAAAGAAATGAAAGCTGATTACTGTTAAAAAAAAATTGAGGCACCACCTTGCTGAGAAGGTAATCCAATCCTCAAGATGAGCTTTAGGTCACATAGACAAAGCTAGTCATTGTAGAATGGCTCCAGCTGAAATAAGGGTAATTTTGACCTATGTTCATGGATTGAGAGTAGGGCTGGGGAGGGGGCAAGGATGTAACAGTAGCTACCAACAGTAGCATTGATGCCCTCGTAAGGAAGGGACAGAAAAAAAATGGAGGAAAAAATTATGTTGCCTTGCTTTTCTCAATGCAGGAAAGGAGAGATGGACTTTTCTTTGTCATTATCCACATTCCTGTTAATACTGCTAAGTCATCTAAACTGCTCTCCAACTTCCTTCTCTAATATGAAGCCATTTGTCCTAATTTTAGCTTTATTTATGTCATTCATTGTTTCATCCATTATTCAACATACTTTCATTGTGTACCAATTGCATTTGTGAAGATATGTTTACACTCAGACTTTTTAGCCTGGAGTTTGTAGACAATAGATTTCTGAGGATCCATGAACTTGGATGGGGAAAGATACATCTTTATTTTCTCTAACATCTAATTGAAATTCAGCATTTTTCTTCCATTATGAATGTGGGCAAAAACCATTATTTTGAGAAGGGGTCCATAGGCTTCACCATACTACTAAAGGAGTCTATGACAAAAAAAAAAGTTAAGAACTTCTGGGTCTAGACTGTGATCAAATGACATAATGTATCCAAAGCACCTTGGACACACATTGTACAAGATGTATCAAAAGTCCTAGTGAACTGTGCCAAGACTTTGAGGACACCCTAATATAAATGTTAGCTCTATAGCTTTCCCTGGGCAAGATTTTTTTTTTTTAATCAAGAACAACATTTGTCTCATAATGTCATTAGCAGTGGTTAATATCCATGTCCACTTAGTTCTAGGCAATTCACTTAACCCCTTAATGTCCCAGGCAACACTCTAAGACTGTTAAGTTGCAGACCAATTGCCCCTAGAACCTGCATTGTATTGTTTCCCAGGAGTGTCTTACAGACGATGAGATCACAGGTCTGGACCAAAAGAAGGGGGGGAAAGACAAAAAAAAAAAAAGAGGAAATCCATTACCATGGCTGAAACAGAATGAAGGTTTTAGAACATTGCCAATAGAATCATATAAAGTATTGTGCGATGTCAAACAAATATGTTTTTATCGGAAAGAAGTGAGAAACTGGGGCAAGGTGACAGACAAGACTGTCAGCTTCACTTAGGGATTGCCATTGTTCAGGGAGGTTTACCAGATTGGTTACCTTATCTGATTAAAAAGAGTTATGACTATGACGCAGTTTCTTCTTGGTCAGAGCAAGGCAGTTTTAGGCCATTGTAATTGTGCATTTCACTCATTCTTAAAAGTTTATTGATGTTAAATAAGAGTCTTGGTCATGAGAACTCAATAACTGAGCATCTTATTAAATTTTAAAGGGCTACTACTCTCAGGTTTTACTATTCTCTATGTATATACGTGGATATATACATTAAAATGCTTCATAGATATGTGATTTAATTGGTGTGAGTACTTGCTTCTTTCACCAGTGCTTATTGATGGACTTACTGACCCTTCCATGGGTGAGCGATTAGTGTTTAAGAGCTGCTATGGCTAGAAATATCCATCCCTATCTAAGTTCTTGCCACCAACTTGATCATTTCCTTTTCCAAACTTAACTTGGCTGGTCCTCCAACAGCTGACATCCACTCTATTACTGGTGGACTTATAAGATATCTTTTGATAATCCAGGCTCACCCCCTTGCCATGAAGAGGCAATGGAAGGGAAGAGGAAAGAGAAAGGAATAAGCATTTATATTGTCCCTATTATGTAGCGGGTACTGTGCTAAGCCACACCCCCTCCTTTTTTTTTCCACAAATATTATCTCATTTGATCCTCAGAACAACAGTGGCAGGTAGGTGCTATTATTATTCCCATTATACAGTCTAAGAAACATAGAGGTTAAGTGATTTGCCTAGGGTCATACAACTAGTAAGTGTCTGAGACTGGATTTGAACTCAAGTCGTTCTGACTCTAGGCCCACTGATTTATCCACCATACCACCTAGCTTCCAATGGAATAGGACTTCAATGGAGGAAAAATGAAAATAACAAAGATTAATCAGAATGAATAGTTTAAATTCACTTTCCATCGTTCTTGGTGCTCACTTTATGCTGTGTGGGGATGTAGTATTAGTAGTAGGAGTAAGAGTAGTAGTAGTATAGTAGTAGTAATAATAGTAGCAGTAATAACAATAAAATAATAATAATAATAATAATAATAATAATAATAATAACAATAGTATTAAATCCCAGTTATTCCTGCTAGATAAGAACATATTCTTTAAACCTTTTCTCTCAAAGCTATTAAAAACTCCTTTTTATTAATCACTTACACATTAATTCAGCCAAGTTCTTATTGGGCATAGAGAGGCAGCCAAAGAGTCAGAAAGACCTGGATTCAAGTTCCATCTCTGATATATAATGGCTATGTGATCCTGGAGAAACCATTTAAACTCTCGGTGCCCTAGGCCTGTGGTATAGAAATGGGGAAGGTCACTAAACCATAAGTATCTGTATATTGACTTAGTTTTAAAATACAGTGTTATCTATGTTTTATTGTATTTTTGTTTATTTTGTTAAATATTCCCAAGCATACAGCCATTTGACATCTTTGCCCTAAGCAACTTTCTAAGACTATAAATTGCAGGGAGTATGTCAACCTGTACCAGTAGATAGTTTCATCATCTGGGAGTTTCTAATGCCAAAGAAATCACACTTATATAAAAATGATTATTTGAATTACCAAAAGAAAGGAAATGCTTAAAGTCTAAGCTTCAGTTAAAAAAAAATTTGAAAAATACTAGAACTATTGCTAAGATATATAGTTAAATCTGCCTTATGACAATGTCTATTACTAGTCATTTTAAACATTCTGAGCCATATTTTTGTGGTCAGAGGCCTATCAAATGTTTGATTTGTTGCAGATGTAAACACTGATGTTTGCTGAGAAAAATGAAGATTTTAGAAGAATATTCTCTGTTGTAGGCTGTGAGCAGATTACAAGCCACTGCTATGGTGACATCTTAATTCAGTAAAACAAACGAACTGAAAAGGGGGTACATGTTGCAGAAATGAATGATTTAGGAAATTAAATCAAAATAACTTAAAATACATGGGCTGAGTAACATTTACATTATATATTTCTCTGTCAATTCTCTTAAGTTTATAAGAAAAAAATTAGTCTTTTCATTATAAGATTTTTGAATGAAATTTTAAGTATTAGTGACAGTTAATAGTAATAACTGTACTAGAAGATATGAACCCAGATGAAGCCAAAGAAGTTTACCTTGTATTCTTAGAGATCTCTGAGGTGCCTCCTTATTCACATGTCATCTCCTTCATTAGAATATGGACTCCTTGAACACAGAGACCATGTTTTTGCCTTACTTTGTAACCCCAATGCTTAGCACAGTGCCTGGATAGAGTAAACGTTTAATAAATGCTTGTTGACTTACTGAATGACTGACTTCAGCTCTAAATCCTATGATATTTTCTATGATACAATTATGTTTTGGGAAATTTTGTGAAAAATAGCCAATCATCATTTGCGTACTCATAACTTTTTTTTTTAAAGGAAATTTGTATTCCTAATGGAAACTGTCTTAGTAGGTAATGTAACATATTTTTGACTCCAGATTCAAATGAGTCTAAGAGCCTGCCAGTTTTTCTTAGTTTTCAACTCCTTCCTTTTTTTTTTTAGGGTTCTCCGGCCCTACAAAGATTCTAAGCAGTGCTGCTTTGTTTTGAGATCCCCATGATAAACGACCAGCATTTCCTGGATACTTAGGATTCCGGGGCCTCCTCACTCCTGGGGAGTATTTCCTTGCCTGCCCTACCCTTGAAGGCAGAGACTGTTTCTGTTGTATCCCCACTGCCTACAGCCATGTTTGCTATCTATCAATCATTAATCAAGAAGCATTCATTTTGCACTTACTATGTATCAAGCACTCTGCTAGGTGCCGAGGTTGCAAAGACAAAAATGAAAGTCTCTGTTCTCGAGAAACTTACACAGTCAGTTCTTAATAAATACTTGTCAATATAATTTATATTTTCCTATTTTTTCAGATACAGAAAAAATATAATACTGGTACTTTTGGGTGGGAATTGGGCATACTTGTTCAAAATGCTTCATTCTGAATTTGGTTTTAAGAGGTAAGTGATGAAGAGAGTAAGAACAATGAGCAAGAAACTTGCTTCTTTTCTGATAATATAAGTGGCATCTTTCCCCAAATAGGTAAAATTCAGAAAATAGACAGGAGTGAGATAGCCAAAAAGTAACATTTTAACAAGAAAACAGTTCTTTTGTAGTGAGGTTTAAAATCAATTTTCTTCCATCTCTTGAATACATGAAGGCGTATGCTGCCCTCACAAACCACAGTCCAGTCAGCAGAGACTTCCAGGAGGGGAGTTAGTTTCAAATGGTGTTAGTATGTCTAAGCTTATGATTAGCCAGAGGACATAAAGAATTTTTGGGGCAGCTAGGTGGCACAGTGGATAGAGCCCTGCCTGGCCTTGGAGTCAGGAGGACCTGAGTTCAAATCCAGCCTCAGACACTTAACACTTACTAATTGTGTGACCTTGGGCAAGTCACTTAACCCCAACTGCTTCACCAAAAAAGCAAAACCCCCCCCCCCAAAACTCTAAGAATCAAATGCTGAGGTAAATTAACACTTTCAATCCATTAAGCTAACATTGAGCACTCCTCCAAAATACTAACTGGAGCAACTTTATATCAGCAAGAATATCTTATGGTTGGGTAAAACTGTGGATTCAGCAAAGTTTATAAGCATTCTGCTTCCCCTTTCCTTTCAGGAGCAGCTTTCCCTGTTCTTCAGCTCCCCATTCCCATCCCCCAGTGTTAAGTCTCATTCTATTTCTTCCACTTATTCTACCCTCCCAGGTTCGGCCTCATGCTCCCCCTCACTTTATATCTCTTTGGACCCCTCCTTAGACAGTGTCAGGGATTATCAACTGATTCATAGAGATGACTAAACCCGGAGCTATCACTTGCCTCCCAAAAGTATGAAACTTCCATTTCTCAGCAGACCCTTGGAATGATTATCTAAAGGAATGACTAATGGTGAGAACAAATGTCATAACACTAAGTCTGATTACAAGAGGTATTTGTGGACATAAGGAAATGTACAGTCCCCTCTGAGTTCTACAGTGCGATCACCCCACAATGCTTGGCCTCTATGCCATTTGCCTACCTTGACCTATAGAGGTGGCTGGTCTACATAGGATATAGCTAGATTCAGAGAGCGATTCTGAGATTTTATGCAGTTTTAGCCCTTAATCATATACTACTTTATGTTCTATGATTACTTCCCATGTACATGTCTTGTACTCACAAGATGGTTATGAGTGTCTTGTAGCTAGGTGCCATGTCAATAACTTCTTTTTTCATGCCCCTGCAGCATGCAATGCTAGGCCCACAGTAGGTATCCAATAAAACTATGTTTATTGATTGGCTATAAACAACGTCCCTAAATAGAGAAAGGAATAGTAGATTGACAGAAACAAAGTATTTGAAAAACTTAATAGAGCAGGACTGATTCCTAGGTTAAAAACAAACAAACAAACCAACACAGCCTACAAAAAACTTGGCATTACAGATATAGTCCTGAGTTTGGTATTAAGAAGGCCAAGTTTCAAATCGTTAACTGGTAGAGCTGAAGAGCTTCAGTATTGTTGTAAGAAAAAGGCTGAGATTCACATTTTGATACTTTAGTAGTTGTGTAACCCTGGGTAAAGTCATTTAATTTATCTGTGGCTTAATTTATCTCCAGGACTTATTTACTGAGTCAGGCTGAAGAGAAAATACCTGCACCTGGGGCTCCCTACGTACTTACAATTTACAGATACTTTGGATATTTGATTATGCCTATATGAATTGGATTTTCTCTCCTGATAGGACTTAGACGACTCCCCAGAGTATCCATTAACTTTACCTGGATGAACCATTTACCTCCAATGAGCATTTTATTCTCCTGTATCATCCATGGCTACAGTTCATCTATCACAACATTTTGTTTTCATCTTGCTTCTGAAAAGATGAGATGTTTGCTTTACATCACTATTTTAGCTGACCAGTAAAGTTGGAGCTCTATCTTAATAGAGTATTTTTTAAGGAACAAGAAAATAACCAAGATTTATTTTTGACCAAGAGCTTAATAGCTCATTCAGAATAAATGGAGGACTACTTTAGTGAGTCTTCAGTGGGATCTGAGAAATAATGTAACTTTGAATGTTAATATGAAAAACTTTCATTTATTCATTTTAGACTGTTTAAGTGGTAGACTGATGTGGAAAGAAATATATGATTAAATATTGATCAAGAAAACCACAGGTATTAGATGGTTTTTCCACCAATTCTAAATGGTTTCTCTCATATATGTTTATGTATGGAAAGAGGTATGAGGATTAAGGAAGCCTCCCTGTATAATGACCTGCTTTACACAACATTTTCCATATCTTAATGCATTTTACCTCTCACTTTTCTTCCTCTTATGCTACAAAGGAGCTGTACTTTTTGCATTTTAAATCTGTAGTAAGGCAAAAGTTTAAGGGGGAGGAAACAACATTCAGAATTTCTACTGCCATCCTTAAATTCTAGAATCTGAAAAAACTCTCAATACACAAAGAGCTTTCTTCTGGCCTCATTTTTCGCTTTTTACTTTTTTTTTTGATGGTGTCATAGTGATCACTGCAACTAAACAAATACCATCAGGAGACCCAGAAAGTAATTCCTGCATCTCCCCCTCTCTAACCCATCTTACACACACCTGTCAAATTAATATAACCAAAACACAGGTATAACTGCTAATTGAGATCTTGCAACACCTCCTAGGCTACCCTAAGATAAAATAGGAACTCCCCCTGTTTGGCACTTAAACTTGTCACTATTTGGTCCCAGCCTAACTTTCAAGGCTGGTTACACATGATTCCCTCTCAGTTCTATCTTCTAGCCAAACTGGCCAACTTTCTGTTTTCTCTAAGTGACATTCCATCTTCCACCTTTCCACCTATGCCCAAGCTGTCTCTCCCATATCTAGAATACTCCTCCTCGTCTCTGCCTCTTTAAAACTCTAGCTCCTCTGAAGACTCACCTCAAACAGCATCTATTTCAAGAGGCCTTTCGTGATTTACCCAGTTGTTAATACCCCCTCCCCATTACCTTGAGTTTATTTTGTATATATCTTGTGTTTTCCTGTGTGTATGATGCTCCCCCCCCCCAAATGTAAGTACTTAATGGCAACAACTATTTTTCCCTCTTTCTGTATTCAGTACTGATCACAGAGCCTGGCATTGCTTGATGAATTCAATTATAGCATCATTCATAAAATCTTCAGAATCCTAGCAAACTACCTGTAAAGTATGCTCATCATCTCACTCACTCTTTATGACTGTCCATTGTTTCTTTTGTTTTGATTCTAAATAAAAGCTCACAAGCCTTTCCATAGCGAATGT